TGACCTATACGTAAACTTATTAACAATTATACTAACGCCAGAGCACGCTTTTAATCATATGGCCTAAGTTTTCATGTTGAACGTTCTAAAATTTTTCAAAAGTTAAAACTGTAATTGAATTATCTAATGAAATTTTTATATTCTACACTTATCTCCTGTTACAAATACTATGAATACATAAATAAAAAATTGATCAATATAAATTCTTGAACTTTATAACATGCATTTTTTTCAATGTCAAGCTTTTTAAATATTATACTAATAACTGCTTATATGTATTAATTCACCTTTCAAAAAATTAAGTGTTTTATTATGCTAAAATAAAACGTTATATTTAAAAAACTAAAATATACGTCAGCCTAAAAACAAATAATATATTCCAACATTTTAAAATATTTTAATCTGCATAAACTCAGAATAAATGCATAGTAAATAATGATATAATATAAATTAAACTGACTAGGTAAATAAACAATTGGAAAAATATTATCACTTAGGGTTAAATATTGAAATTAATTTCTTTTATTTTTTATTTTATTATTTTTTTTTATTTTTTTTTTTTTACATTTTTATGGCATTTTTTAAAAAATGAATGAACACTTAAAAAATATATCCAGTTTTCTAAAGATTATGTCAAAGAAATTAACAAAATCCATGATAAAATTAAGATTAGGAGTGATTTAGCACCTGATACCTACAGATCTTATACATATTTGTTATTGTCTTTTGTTTTATCGTTTTACTTTCATCATGTTCTTAAATCTTTAAAGCTATTTTTTTTTTTTCAACGGAATAAATATTATAATGTAAGAATTAAAATAAAACTCTACACTTGTTACCTATGCCCAGTAGCAATATATGCATACGAATATTGGTCCACTACGCAAGTAGATGGAGAAAAAACTATTAATATTTAAAAGAAAATGTCTATGAAAAATAAATGGACCAACATAAAATCTAAACAGAGAATATGAAAAAAGAAAAAGTGTAGATTTAGAAAAGTTGTACGACAAACCAAACATTGGAAAGAATCTAAAAGCAAATCGCCTGGAGTAGGCTAGCGACGTTTAATGAGCTGACGGAAACTTTGTTCGTAATGTATAAGTTAAGGAAATAAACAAAAAACGACCAAGAGGGCAAATAGAAAGAATAATTGGAAAAAAAAAGTGGACCATGAGATAACGATAGAAATGATAAAGAAAGAAATAAAAAAAATTGGTAGAAGCATGTAAAATGCCTTTAAATTCTGCTAGATACAAAAAAAAAGATTAAAATATTAACCTGCAAATCTATCAATTATTTAGCACGAATAAGTTATCATGGTACTTGTTTGTTAACGCCCCGCCAGTGCGCCGCATAAAATTTATCGCCCCGCCACTCTTGTTTGTTATCGCCCCGCCAATTAAATAAAATAAACAAAATAATAAATAAATATAAAATATGTAATTTATGTATTATTAATAATAAAAAATTTAAAAATAAATGAATAAATATATGTTTATAAATTTAAAAAAATATGTATAAATGGATTAGTAAATAAATAATATAATTATAATTATAGTGGAGGCCAGAACTCGGATATATCTTTTAAAATGGTTTCAAATGCGTCTTGTTTTCCGAGACGTGTTCTCCACATAAATTCTGCTAAATATGATTCCAAAAAATTTCTGTTTGTTCCACGACGCTTTTTATTTCCCCATTTAGCAGAACCCCACAACCTCTCGATATTTTGGGTGTGTGCCCCTGTGTCTGGATCAACAAAATTATACGTATGGTTTACAGTATTATGTTGGAATCCCGCTTGCTGCAAATTATTATACGCTTTCCAACAATCTGACAATATTACTGAGCCTGGTCTTATATATTTTTTGATTATAGGTAACAATGTTTTTTTCCGATCGATCAGGTACACTTATTATAAAACATGCATTGGTTTCCCGACATATTCCACCGAAAATCCATTGCTGAGGTAGAATACGTCCAGCATTATTTTTCCGACGCACAAATAAACTTTCATCTATTTCGACGATAAGACCGGGACCACCAATTTCTTTATTTTACTCCAATCGACCACAGCATTTTGTCCCATCTTTAGCTCATGTTTACAAAAAGTTACTGAAGACATTTCTCGAGCCCAGTAGTATATGAAATGTACAATTGTATGTATTGGTAGTCTAGAACCAGTTAACCAATTGTTAACTCTTAAACCCTTTTCTTTCCGGCAACTTCTTTTCTGACAACGCCATCGTGACCCCTTGATAAACATTATATGGCCATTTTCACATATTTCACTAGTTTTAACTATATTATTTTTTTGTAAAAATGTAATTGCAGTATCATTGTTAAAAACAACTGTAAGTAATTCATTAAAATTCATTTTATAATATAAAAGAAAAAAAAGAAAAAAAAAATTTTTCGAATTGGTTTCAAACGAAGTTAAAGTTTACTAAAATAACGAAAGCCAGCAGCGTACTAATATGGTTTAATATAAAATGTACAATAGTTTTTCCATTTCCCAAAATAGATCATCCACCACGAGCTAAATACGATAATTGTAGGTATAATAACGGCACACTATATGGCGGAGCGATAACAAACAAGAGTGGCGGGGCGATAAATTTTATGCGGCGTACTGGCGGGGCGTTAACAAACAAGTACCGTTATCATTTCCTAAGACTTGATTAATATTTAATATTTATAGTATGTATATAAATACTAATTTTAACCTCAGCTTTAACATTTAAGTTGTATTTAAATATTCATTGTATGCATTATTTTTAATAATTTAATGAATTCATACATTTTTATTTTTTTTTTCGTTAAATTTAAATTTAAAAATTCTAGGCAGTATTCAATAATATAAATAATTATATTTGAAAAAAAAAAGTTTTTAAATATTGGCATACAAATTATTTAAAACATTTACGATATAAAATTGAAAATCTAATTCCTTTGTTCTTACATTAAAATATATTTTGTATGGTTTTAATGTCTGTTTAATATTATTTACCACGGTCTCCATAAAATATACACAGCACCCAGTTTGCAAAGCTATCTGTAGTATTTTCAAATAAGTGACGGCACATTATCAATAAATTTTACTTTTTATAAATCATATATTTAAAATTCATGAATTTATATTAATCAAACACGTTTAAAATTTTAAGACTATGCCATAATGAATTGAATATGTCACCTATTTTATAATATTTATTTATACAGCGTTAAGACTTAACTTTAATTTCCTCGTTCACGCAATTATAATAGCAAGTACCAATGAGCAATATTATTAAGGCATTATTTACTAAAAGGTTCCAACAATATTGAATATACCACCAGCTAATCGTATTCAACAAAATACATATCCGTCATAACTCATAATGTATTTAATACTTAAAACCACTAAACTTAAACACCCATAACGGCTATGTGTTTTGAATAAATAAAAAAAAAAAAACAGGCAGCATAAATTATAAGGATCGTAAAAAAAAAACGCAAAAAAGGATTTTGACGTTTTCATCAAATAATTATGCACATGTCAAAGACCTTTTTATGTTACATCGGTCAGACCAACCAATATAAAGTCAACTGCACTTAAAATTTAAATTCACATAGCTGAAGTGTAAACACTTTGTATTAGACAACTATAATAACGCACAGAGTATCTATAATCTGTATTGTATAAAAATAGGTTTCGTTTACGATTTCGATAAGCAAGAGTATTGAATACTGTGCACTTCAACGATGGGTGGTAAGGACTGTAGAGATACATCAGAAATTAGATCATAATATAACTACTAAAAATGTTGGTGTTGATTTCTTTAAGAATCGATTTTTACTAAGGCAACATATTTTTAGTGCATGAAATGTGATCGAATAATCAATAATTATGATAATATATTTTTATGTATGGTAATTAATTATATTTGATATTTGGAGCAATTTTTATTTTTACCAAAATCATTTGACAAAAATACAAAATACATTGTTAATTTGTAACATTTCTTCTATAAATTCATCTAACCAAATCGTGTTAATTTACTTAAAATGTTATTTGAAATTTCTCAATGCATTAACATTTGTTGATCATTATGATTAATGAATTTGAAGAAATAATAGAAATATATTGATATACTTCCAGCATTTAAATATTTTATTGATCTCTCAAATTACACACAAAAATAACGTTTAAACTAGAGTTTGAAAAATTAAAATAATTTGTAGCTAGGTATTATATAATGTTTCAATTATCGATAAAATTTTAAATTACGAATGGAATCATATAACTTTTAAAATATTTCGTTTAAAAATATCGGTTAATAAAAAGTACTTTATTTAAAGCTGAAAGTTTATTTATTTAAATATTCAGCCAGCTTTTAAACGTTAACCTCCAAAGATCCTCAGACATAGGAAAGTACCGTAATAAAATACTTATGACGTATAAACCCATTTGTTAGTACAAAATAAATTCAAAGCAGTCTGATATAATATGCTATTAAATGTATACGAGTATTATAAAAATAAATGTTACGCTTTTGATTTGATTTTTAAATATTTTAATTTAAATCTATTTAAATATTTTCATTATAAAAAGGAGTGATAATATAAAATTTTTGTGTAGTCTAATTGAGTTTTAATTTTACTAGAACGCTATTCATATAGTACTGTATGGATGTTATTATACAAAACAATTGAGGTGAAAAATATAAATAGGTATATTGTTTGTCTTTATTAGAAAAAATACCCCTTAGAGTATACTGTTTAAGTGATGTTCCTAGTATAAAGTATAACTAAGCTATATAATATTAATATAAACTAAAACAATCCCACCACAAACTCCTTTAAACAACTCACCCGTTTAATACAACAACGCGCTCACCGGTACTATCTTGCCCATCCATAACGCATAATATAAGTAGTGCATACCATTTACTTAAATATCATACATACTGTATAAACACACGTCTGACACGAACAACTTTACACAATCGTTTTCGCAGGGTTAAGTTGATCGAGTGTTCAGCTAAGGACAACGTAAACGTGCGTGATCTATTCAAATGCTTGTTAGTGTTGTCCCGGAAACTGAACGGGACGGGAGACCAGGCGGCGTGCCCGCTGAAACGTCGGTCCAGCGCATACGTCAGCCACACCAAATCATCGAGACGGGCCGCGGACAATGCGGAAACATCCACTATTTCCGGTTCGACGGGTGGCGCTTCCGGTCACGGCCGCGACGAGCACCAACTACAGCAGCAACAACAGGAACGGGCGAAACCGCGCAGCCGCAGCTTGATCAGACGATGCAGCCGGAAGGCCAAACAACAAATTAGGGACACGACCACCGGTGGCGGTGGAGGTGGGGGTAATGGCGGTGGCGTGGACGATTGCAACGTCAGCTAAATGACCACATAAAAATATTATAATATACGATATACACAATATACCTACATAAGCTAATAATAGGGTCTTCGGTTGTCCGATAAAAACAAACTTCGCACTCGTACACAGTTCGTTACAATTTTCGTCATTTTTTACCCATCGTGATGTCACGTATACCTATAATCTTTGGTTACCAACTGACATCTCACCATATTATTTAACAAGTTTATATTATTGTTTATCGATTTTTTTACCAACGTCCTCTCCACTATGAAACTGGCACCCAACATTTTATTTTTTGCCGTTTACTTTAAAGCCTTTAGCTAGTTATTTTTAATTTTTTTTTTTTTTTTTTGTTCTTTCTGTTTCATTATACAACCATACTGACCTTTAAACATTGATTAACATTTTGTTCATTTCGGGTGTGCTCAAATAATAAATACTATTTTGTGCGTCGTTGACGCACCTCGTAAAGTATTTAATCAGATATAATTATATAAAGTACCTTAGAGTATTATGTATAGAAATTGTATAATGATAATAAAATAATAATTAAATAAACGTCTCTTCAGTGGTATTATGTATAATGTGTTTACGACTAAATATTAAGAACAACATACATTTTCAAGTTTCACATCTTCCATACAAATTTTGTGTATAATATATTATATGCACATTCGGTATATATTTCGTTAATTCATATTTATCAGTCTAATGTAGCCGACACTGCAGTTAGAATATTGAAACAACAAAATCACTTTTTTTATCTCTATATTATATTATATTTCTTGCACCAACCGTTCTCTTAATAATAACCATATAATTCTGTATAATGATATCATAGTTAAGTTAAATTATATTCTAATGTTCTCTTCGACGTTGAATCAAACTAAAATAGTTTTAAATCAAATTATAATTACTATATTTATAAAATATACATTCACAAAACTATAACATACATAGACGTACGCACGGGTAGGGCTGATTGGGCTTTAGCTCCACCCGAGCCTTTTTTTTATAAGTAGGTACTCGGTACCTAAAAAAGTAATAAATAATAAGGCGTTAGAGCCGTAGAAAATTAATAAAAAAATAAATCAAAATCATAAATATTTACACGATTAAAGATATGCATCATTTTTTTCTTGTGTGACCATGGTGGGAGGCAGGGTGGGTGATCAGATTGAATTTAGCCATACCTGATTCAGAAGTATGTGCACGCCTATGATAACATATTACGTATATTATATTATGCCTTTATGGTATCTAAGAAAATACAATATATTTTAAATTTCATTAAAAAAATAATTAACTATTATAATAATTATTTTATATATTAACATTGTATTAATTTGTTTTTTGATTAAAAAACGCTCTCGATGAACGATTAACATTTAATTTATATATTATTTACTAATATTTCTAGATTTTGAAAATCAAGAACCGTTATAATTTTTTTTTATCGTTTTCATCTATTTCAAGTTTTTAAAAACCACTAATATAAATATTGTATAGAAATTCATTATCATAATATTATAATTTATTTATAGGTAATAGGTTTTAAATAACGCTATGATTTTTAGGAAATAATTTAAATTATTATCAATATCATTGATCTTGTGTGTACTCTTCAGAACGCGGGTTTCGGCCGTTAGGTTAGAATGTAAATATATTAATTAACTAATCATTTTAACATAATTAATAATATAATTTTGTTTAAATGTTTAATGTGTTTTGTTACAAATTATTTAATTTAATAAACACGTTTTAAATATATATTAATTATCGACGGTAATAAGATGATTTGTATTGTCTCGGTTATAGTCTGTATTTCGTATAAATATTTTATTAATTTGAATATTTAAAACGTTAACCTGAAATTTCTGATTTCGCTGGCACAAGATTTATGGATTAAACAATAAACGTGATAAATTGTAGTAAATTCATTAATTGATGTGTCATTGATTTCCAAGTGCTTCCATAAGCGTATTGTTCAAAAAGTCAACATATAATATAGGTATAAAAAGTGTGCTAAAAGAATGTCTAAAAATAATAATGTATTAGCAATTTAATTAATTATGGATCAAATTATTGTTAAATATCAAACATATGAAAATACATACTATTAATAATTCATACTTACATTTAAAATATATTTTTATTTTATTTGTTCACGAAGCATTTTCAAAAAAAAAAAAAATGTGTACTTTAAAATCACCCAAAACTACACACTACCTACTAATAAACTATACGCAATATATTTATTCGTCCAAATTATTAATTCCTATTATTATTCTCATTATATATTCGATGTCATTATATTATATTCTAATACTTAACCAATTTAACTAAATATATTATACATATATTAAAACTTCCTAGTATAACCAAGTACAATGTACATACATAATGTAGTATAGTAACCTACCTATAGTTTTAACTATGTATAAAAAAAAATAGTTGAATTTATTTATACAAGAACGTCCGTAAAAAGAAATCTCAAAAAAAAGGTAATATTATAATTAATTATAGTATTAATAATTATTATCGTGATAATATGTAATATTACCATTATTGCCTATGTACATAATATTAACTTGTTAATCAATCATGTCATTTAATATTTTATTGAATAATATAAACAGTACAGCTATTAAACTCGTATTGTATTATAATATGTGTAATATGTGAATATCTCATCATTACATATTTTTACGTATTTTGTATTTTATAATTTAATGTCTAAACTTACTTGTTAAATATTGAAAAAAAATACGAGGATAAAACTGTTAATAAATGTCCGTTTAAAATGCCAACGGGGTAACGGGTTATGATGGGTTCACAAATACTGCCTGCGAGCGCCTTTGATTGTAATAAAAATGGAAAACCTGAAAAATATTACGCGTTATTTCTCATTTTTCAAAAATAAAATAGGTGTGTAATAATGTATTTTCGTAGTTATATCCCCGTGTGTGGCATTCGTGTGAATGAAAATTAATTTAGTCCAATCGGGAATAAGCAGGGATAATAATAATTCATTACATTTTTCTTTTCTATGGATCATGCTACAAAAAAATGTACATTCATTAAAATTAAAAATATTATCACACTATAATGATGCAAATGTTACACCATAATAGCTACTATGGAAACTATTGACGAGATTATTTTATTAGTTAATATAATTGTTAAATCATAACATGATTTTCGTGTTTTAAATGATCGATTCGGTTAATTGATTTTACATACTGTATATTTCCTTCATAGAAAAAGTTTAAGTATTATAATGGCCTTGTGAAATTAATTTTAATTGGACAAAACTAATTAATTGTCTACAGTGATTTTTTCATTTATTCGAATTTAATAAAAAAAAAAAAATACTGTAAACAACAGTGCTTTCATGTCATTATAATTTGTATAATTTATATCAGGCTATGTTGAAACTAATAAATACAATAGTTATTTTTTTTTTTTTACAAAAGTCTTCAGCATTTTTCATTATATTGCCTTACTATTAATAAAATTAAAACACAATAGGTACCTACAAATTATTTATTTACATATATATGTATACTTAAATACACTTAATTAATTATTTCTATTTTAGCTTAATTTTCCACGAAACTAATAACTATTTATTATTAAAAAATAATTAAATAATAAAAAATTTAATTAAATTATTTATTTTATTAACTCACTAGAATAAATTTAAAGAATAACAGCATACGTTAAAGATTACATTTAAGGGACCAGTAGAAATTGGTAGTTTAATCCTAATATTTTGTTCTACTGGCATTTATCATATATTTATACCAAATAATTTAAATTTAGTTAAACGCATAAATATTTATAATATACACAATAAGGGAATAACAATGTTAAAGCTAAAAAATACATATTTATATATACATATACATATTACATAACATATTAATATACACTTAAATGTATAATACATATTAAAAGTTTAAAATGAAAAAAAAAATAATAATTTAAAATTAATGAATTAACCTTTATCCGTAATAATAACATTATAATTATACTAGTAAGAAATTTTAATTAATAAAATTAAGAAATAAAATATATTATTTATTAAATTATTATTAATTAAAAACCCTTACTATAAAATAAATAACATATAATGGATAATCTTTAGTGTATCGTCATCGGGTGTGAAGTTTATCAATATTATAAATTTTTTTCGCGAAATGTATGGGTTTATTTGTCTTCAAAACAGTAGTAAATTTGAGGAAATAAGCACTCTAAATGTTGTGTTCATAAATAAAACACCAACTCAGTTAATGTTTAAGATAACCATAATGTACTTTCTTAATGTATTTTAAGTTTCTGATTATATTATACCGTACCGTATATAAAGTTTCATATTCATATAACATTTAAATAGTTTAATTTAAAACAGAACTTTAACGAATAATTATTGTAATTGAATAATTTAGAAAAAAATCGATTTCTTATTGTTTATAGTAATTTACGTCATAATATATTTAAACATTATAATATTCAAGGTGATCAGTTCAATTTCCACACTCATTATTAATAAACATTAAATTTTATTAAAAATAATATAATTTTTTTACATTCGTAATTTAATGATTACAAAAGAACATTTTAAGAAAAATTTTAAAAAAATTCGTTATTATATTTCTATTTTTACTTTTTTTTATTTGACAATACACCTACGTTTTAATTTCATATAACGCAGCAAAACATTTTCATACATGCAAACTGAACATTTTAATGAGTAGTTCATTAGTCATTACATATGAGAATTAAAGTACTGATGAGGAAAGTAGATTGGTACAGACTACAGGGTATCCCGTCAATTGGTTCTCTAAGTTCATCTAAACACTTAATAATAAACTTATAACTAATTAACTTCTCGTTACAAATTCGATTAGTGTATATCGGAATACTCCATAAAATATTCTGCTTCAGAATATAGAATTAATAATGTATGTTGTCATTCAAAAAAGTAAAAACCTTAGAAAAATTAAAACGATAAAACACTGCAATATATATATTTAATATTATTTTACATCTAATAACCAAAAAATAATAAAACTATTTGAAAAAAAAATAAAACTTATAGAAATTATAAATATAGAGTCACTTTGCATTATTAGTTTGAAAAAACCTCAGCACACGTATGTGTTTATTCCAGTAAATAAAATAAAAATAAAGAAAAGTTAAATTATTTTAACTTCAAATACTGCATTCATTGTTGAAACTAAATTAAATTGTTCTTATTTTGTACGAATTTCAATTTTTTTCTTAACATTTTTGAATTAATTGACAAACGAATATAGGGCATATCCAATGTCTATGTGATATTTCACAATAACCCGAACAAAAAAAAAGTTGACTGTTGGCGATCATGTTTTTATTAAAAAATTTTAGTATAAACTACGATCTTTATTTTATTTTTATTCATTTTTTAGTTTATGGGGAAGGACAACAAATTCATCACCAATATATTTTAAGAAATACATTTGAACTTTCAATTTGAATTTCAGTATTCATCCATACAAGAAATAATCAATAAAATGTAAATACTTTAATTATGTGTGAAGTATATTTTTTTTCGTTTTGAAGTGATTATATAACTAGGAACAATAAGGTACAATAAGTAATGTATAGCACTACTTAAAATAGGTAATTATAATATATCAGATGGAATCACAATATTACACGTCATTCATAATAAAACTAAACCTGAAAAACTATACTAAATACTAATCTAAAACAGAACAATAATGGTTATCTAGTATTCATATTATGTATGTTATCATA